GAGCTAATACAACTACCGAGGTATGTAAAGTTTTCCACAATCTCCAGTGGTTCTCCTTGAATTGTAAGGGATATGTTCACAGATGGCACGTTCTGAAGCAGGACTTTGCACTTTGAAGGTGCAAGGCGCATGCCAAATGATGGTATGATGGCGGTCAGTTTATTCAACAGGGCTTGTGCTTCGCTGTGGTCTTCAAAGATGGGGGCGATGTCATCTGCGTACTCCAGGTCGACAAGGCTCTCTCCAGCAACAATTTGAACACCGGGGTTTTGAAAACCGTCCGGTGTTCGCCTCATTATTTCATCGATGACGAATTTGAACAACAATGGGGAAAGTGGACATCCTTGTCTGACACCACTTTTTGTAGGAAAGCTTTTGGAGAGCTCACCATACACCCTCACCCGCCCAGAAGTATGTGAATATAGAGATCGGATTATGTTTACAAACTTCTGGGGAATACCTGGTTGAGCAAGTGTAGTTAACAGAACTGATCGATCAACAGAATCGAACCGGAATTAGTTACTAAATGTGCTTACCTTGGCGCTGTACCTCGACAGAACTGATCGATCAACAGAATCGAACCGGAATTAGTTACTAAATGTGCTTACCTTGGCGGCTGTACCTCGTCCACTGGTAGTATTTCCGATCAGTTCTGTTCCCCTTCAACTTGCCCACTCATGGGGTTTTGGCGATATTAATGTCGCTGAAAGAAAAGGTATGCATTCCGGTCGGTGCTGTTCTGTGGAGGCCCAGACATTCTACGCGGAAATTAAAAGGTGATGACCTGATTTCGACCGTAAGTGAGTACACGGCGTTGGGCATCGTATTTCCAGTGCTGGAATACGTTGTGTGGGGTTTAGCAAGTCGCCTGTAGACAGTCGGTGGTCAACTCGATACAAATACACAGATGTTCTTCAATGAAGGGTGGGGAGCAGACTTGCCGGTAGTTGGTGACTCTTACACATGTGGCCAGTTCTACAGAAAGGTTGCATGTTCGGATTAGCATGCAACACAACATGGTTCTGCCACTGTCAGCTTGTTCAGCGACGGTGATTTCTACGTCCGGTCACTGCAGTGTTAGAAGCGTTTATTCCGCAGGCCTGTCGTATGTGTTACCGAGGAATTTCGGTGTAAGCATTCCTTCCATGTCACACCGACGATTCACCCTGTTTTATGTGCCTAGGTTCTGTCTCTATCGGGACCGTTGTGGAAGCAAATCAGCCTCGTTAAAACGGCAGAGAGAATTCTGTTTGTGGTGCTTTTAAGTCTCACAAAGTGGTAGAATACGTTGATCCACTCACTAACGACCTGTGGTACAATTGACCGGTTTGAGCGTATTCATCATCGCCATCCATGAAATTTATGAATGTTGTACTACAACTTTAGCTGTCATATCATTTCTCCCGCATTTTGAAGGACTATCACCTATCATCACCTATTTGAACCACTTGGGTCTTGGGAATTCCATTCTTGTTCTCTGCTTGCCCCAGAGACCAGGGCTATATGTACAGGAATTTTATAGTTCATTATGGGTTATTTCGAACTATTAACTGTTGTCATACACTTATCAGCCACTTGTAACGCACTGCGTACTCTTGTATCGGCCAACCAATTAGGATGGAGCGGTTGGTTACGTCGGCAGTCAAGAGTTAAATATCACACCTTACCTGAGATGGGCGTTCCCATGTTTCGGCGTGGGAACGCCAAAACTCTTGAAAAAGAACACTATCTGTCGGAAATTTTCAATAGGAACTCTTCCTCAGAGGAGTTAATTATGTAGGAAAGCACAGTTTACGTCGGTCGTTCTAGGCGGTTCTCCAACTGGAAAGCAATGTAGCTACTTTTTATTTTCCAGTCGTTTTTCTATACTTTAGTTCGATGGACAACACTGTACTGATTGCGCATGCGCTAGCTACGAATACGGTGATTTTTCACTAACTAACATGCGAGGATGGCTTGTACAAACGCACAACTCGCTGTAGGTCGAACGGAATGCTACTGATCGCCATTGGTTTATACGTTGTCATTCGGCTCAATGTGTGGAGGCTTATGCGCACATCTTCGCTCTTCCAATTTCCGTGGAAGGAGGACTACTTCCTCAGCATTTGTCTTCCTTTTCAGCCGTTTGGAAGTGACCTGCCACACTGCATCTGCCACCATACAACGGTTAGTCAGTGTCAAAAATCAGGCAATGAGGCAAGTGGCCTCACTCGGTATCGCTCTGGGTAAAACAAGCGAGGCAGTGAATGTCGTATATGAACGAGTTAATGAGATGGACCAGGTGGGCCAACGATTTCTCACTTGTATGTTTTGTTTAACATAGTGTATGATTTTCTTCCTGATCTGCAATGTCTTTAGAGTATGTAATTCATATTCGGAAGTTCGTACCACAACAAGTCTTTTTACCTGTGTACCCTTGAAACTAAAGCAGTGACCCGATTCTTTCGTGTCCTAGACGTGTACGGAAAAGCTCCTAACGGTTAAAAAAAGACTCGATCAACTAAAGGAGAAAGTAATTCAGGTGAGCCAAATTATTTGAACTTTTTGCGCCACAATACTTCACAATCGTCCAGACTTTCCTGCTCTATGGCTATCCATCATCCTTCAATATCACTCTCAACATGGTTGACGGTACTAATGCAATCCACTGTTGTGTCAACCACAATAATTTGGTTTAGGAAAGATGTTGTGAAAGCGAAAAGGTATGAAAAGGGATCTGTTCCTCCAAACACTCAAACTAATCAGCTAGACAGAAACAGGTGGTTGGTAACGAGCTGCTACGACTTATCTTGCCAGATATGGTCACGCAGACTTCATTACGAAAGAGCAATCGTACCAATGCCACTCGCATTCTTTGCTATCATCAAGTTTTTTTTTTTTCGTCTTGTTTCGCCTTTCCGTACCAATGCCACTCGCATTCTTTGCTATCATCAAGTCGTTGTTTTTTCGTCTTGTTTTCGCCTTTCAGTTATGATAATGGAACTCGGTGTATTCCTCAGTAAATGATACTTGGGTTTGTCTAGCACATGGCCAGTTAACTGCGCTTGGCGCTGCTGCGTTCTTTCAACGGAAGCACCTGTCATCATACGAATCCTTTTTGTGATTACATTTTTAAGAATCTATCGCCGTCAAGCAATCGACCGATAGTTCGCCACATCGCTTACCATAGATGCCTCGGATCTTCCGTCTAGGCAATGGCTTACTTTCATACTGTACTGTCCTTAAAACTTAGCGGTGGTTGTGTTGGTGATGACGAGAATGACGATAATAATCAACATCATCTACAAAAACACTGCGACAGAATCGTATAAATTTTATTACTTAGAATACTATGGTGTTTGGAACAAAAATGGGAGACGGATCCCATACCGCCAGACATTCTTGGTTAAAACTGATAGCACGTACGTTCCTCACATCGGTTCACACCCTAATTTTCAGCGTCTCGATCGAGGCGCGCAAAGGTTCGAATCAGGAGTGGATGTCGCAATGACAGCATGAATAATTTGTAATACTACCATCTAGCATGTCATACTCTTCTCGTCTACCGATTCTCGCTAGTTCGAATATGGCACGGAAAATAAGGCCACGATATGCCGGTAATCTTTGGCGAATGACTGGACTCGATTCTGGTTCTCGAGGCTGGTAATCACATACACTCAAAACTAATAGAGCTTTATATATGAACAAAGTGATATACAGCTTCATGAGCTTCGGTGAATTAATAGTTTTGTCAAGATAATTTACGCCCTACATATTCTATGGGGCTGAACGATACGTATTTCCAGGTTTCAGAGGATCAAATGCTCTTTATACACATCCATGTCTTTCTGCGTTTACCAACATGAAATTATCGGTGTTATGCAAACCTCTTATTAACATCTAAGTCTATTTTCACTAGTTCACAAAATTTTCCAACACCGGAAAGGCGACCCAGTATCCGACCGGGCTGTCTTCACCGGTTAAACGAAAATAGGCGATCGGGTGAGAGTTTCTTTCGAATATTTCGTCACCAGGATGATATTTTGCTTAGAGATACTTTCTCTGATTCCTTTTGCTAATAGCTGAATAACCTAAAATCTGCTAAACGCTACGATTCAACATCAACGCAAACCGAATCATCAATTCTTCTGACAGAGAAACCTACTCAGACTGACCCGAATCTGACCACTCCCCCTCAGTGTTGGGTAGGTTATTTGTCATCTCTTTTCCTACCAGGAAGTGATACTCATGCTGTCGGAAATACAACCTTTATGCCATATTTGGTCCTACTATCCATGGTTATTTTAAGATTGAAGAAGGCATGAGAACATGCGAATTCGTGAAGAGAGGTCTCCCCACTCTGTTGTGTTCACGGGTAAAAAAATCAGTGGTGTCAATTTCGGCACTGCGAATGTTTAATTTATCTTTACTTACTCATGAGTAGTTGGATGTTTTAACATTTATTGAAGTTTGTAAAGTGAGGCGACTCTTACCCATTTTCAGTCTTCTTCCGTTTACAACGTTTTGATGGATAAGCTTTCTGTTGTATCCTGCTGTATATCTATGGATGTTGCGAATTTTTCGGAACACCGACTGGTGAAGAACTAACTGAGTGTGATTTGGAACTGTTTTCACTTGATTGGATTTCTGACTGATGAAACCCATATGATGGGGAGATTCGAATGAACTCACTGTTTTTCATGTCCTATATAAATCCACGTTAGAAATTATATGGGTGAATATTCTAGATACTGAATTGTCACCTCCTGTAAACAGTGTGGTAAGATCGATCACTTCGTTCACCATTCTGCAGCCTGCTTCAAAAGTCCAGCACTCAGAAACNGACTGGATGGCTTCGGTTCAGCAACTGCACAGCAAAATTGAGGCCTTGACACAGGAGCGCGATGACCTCCGTATCCGACTAGAACACCAGATTTCTTTCGTAGAAAGGCTTCAGAAGGTAATTACTTTCGTTACCAAAATAACACAAATGATTTCAAATGTTCACATGTCCTAGAACTTTGAATGCTTTCATCACCGACAGGTCTCCCTATAAGTACATGCAGAGTCAATCATCTTTAGTTCTGTTTATTTCACTCTGTCTGTGAAATTACCTGAAAGGAACAACGTGGAATGATCATTATTCATTGACGGGCTACAGCAGTACAACAGAATCGACATAAATTTTAGGACAACTACCTCCCTTAACCGTGTAGTTGTGATCAACGCTACCTTTTGTCGTTCATTGCGTCACGCAGTCAACAAGAGGAGTTCTAACTTGCGTAAAATCGTCCACTGCATGCAGATTTATAGACGCTAGATGTTTACTGGGGTTTTAATTGTATAAAGTCCTAGACTTCGGAACTGGCATTCAGTCCGACCGTATATGACCTCGAGTATGAACGCCTACTCTCCAGTACTTCAATGCGTCCGTCCAATCCAAATAAACTTCCTTTGCGTCATGCATAGTGACATGACCTTCCTCCATGGTTCCAGGTTGAGGGAAATTCCTCAAGATGCGTAAAATCTATGCAGATTTATAGACGCTAGATGTTTACTGGGGTTTTAATTGTATAAAGTCCTAGACTTCGGAACTGGCATTCAGTCCGACCGTATATGACCTCGAGTATGAACGCCTACTCTCCAGTACTTCAATGCGTCCGTCCAATCCAAATAAACTTCCTTTGCGTCATGCATAGTGACATGACCTTCCTCCATGGTTCCAGGTTGAGGGAAATTCCTCAAGATGAGCAGCGTAAAATCTGTGTCCATAGTTCAGAACAGCTACGTTTAACGTTTGTTTTTACTAGTATGTTGACCACTTCTGCGATCAAACATTGCTTACCTATCTATAGCCCACTGTTTGTTGAACTTGTAACCCTTACAGCCAACAGTGTAAAAGAGAACTGGAATTGGTGGAAGGGTTCAAGTCTCTTCTACATGAATCCAGGTAATGATACCTTTCTTCGTGCAACCTATACACGGATTTTAACGGGATGTTGGCATATTTTAGAAACGCAACCCAGCCGTTCACGCCTCTCGACTCACCAAATGTCATCTTCCACTTTGTGACTCAAGTTATTATCCTAGACAGCCTGTAATCTTGTCTCAGTGCATATGAACCTTCGGAGGACACACTATTTAAGTTCAGTTATGTATAAACCAATTGCCCCAGGACTAACTTCGTGACGTTTCTGAAACGGAAATGCAGATGCATCAATGGGTCATGCGAATACAGATTGAAAAGCACACCGAAGCGATTTTTAGAGGCCTAATGGTAGAGTGGCTGAAGTTCTTTTTTTTAAAGGCGATGCTGGGGAATAGTTTTGTTGCATCTATTCGGTATAGTACGCCTAACATTCGCCTCCACCTACCTTTTGTTTCCGGTGAACTGGTTGGGTGCCGAATCCGTTGTCCTAATTGATCGGGGCGTGTTCATAGGAGTCAGTTTATTACGTGGTCAACTTCTTTTCCTAGGATTGGGTAAACCACCGTGATGCATGATTCAAATATATGTGCTTTTTTCAGGAGAATTTGGCACTGACCGATGTACTTACTGGCGCTGAGAATTTCAATCGGACTCGAATTTCTTGTGCTTCGCCAGCGATTACTTTACCACAGTCCGGCTGTCCGGCGTATAACCTCCCTAACCTAAAGATGCTTCCTGGACAGCAGCAAAATTCGGAGCTCCACTCTCTTCACAGCTCTGTGCAGTCGGTCACCATCGAAAGCCCAGCCATTACAGAACTCGAACCAAACAGGTCATTTGACTTACCAACAAGCCCCAGCCTACCTGTTCCGTCAGAAGCTCAAAATGACAAGTTTTTATCAAGTGACACTGCACAGCAATCTTTTGTACAAGTACCCCTGAGTCATGACAAGTTTTCCCCAGCTACTACTTCATCCCTGCAGGCGAATTCGAGGAAACATGTTCAACCGCATCCTAAAAGATCAACATGCTCATTGGTGGGTGACGAGCTTGCTCCACACACTGGCGATCATTTGGGCATTCTCGAGGCTGAATCGGACATTCATGGGCCGAACCGCTGTCGTTCAAGAGGAAGTTCCATGTCAATAAGGTTTGTTTCTCCTATAGTCCATTGTCATTTTGGTTAATTTTCAGAGTCACTAAAGTTTTCGGTTTTACTTTCTATGCATCCACACAATAGGTCCGCATTTCAAATTTCCTCAAGTTCCCGCAGTTCTAATTTTGCGTCGATTTTGAAAGTTTGCCAGCTCTGCTTTTCGCACAACTTTTGTACGAGTCCGAGGAGTTACCTTTGTTTTCATAATAGAAAGTATCACATCAGCGTCAGCTGCTGGCAGTTAGCTTATATACAGTTATGAAGAAAGGCTAAGACGCACCCCCCCCCCAAGCACCTAAGGTTAGTACTTGAGAGTGACTGAACAATTCACTTTTCTTCAAAAGATTCCATACCAGGTTTATTAGCCCATCACTCTTCAGGCATTGTTCCCCTCCTCTAATAAGTGCATCGTGCTAAGATAGGGCTTAATCTGTTGTATCATGTAGACTCTCTAGCTTCAGCAGCTTTGTCAGGCTGTCTTATGCATTGCTGTCTCAAAGGTGTCATGTGAAAAATTCCCTTTTCTAAATTTTGATGACAGTGGTTTTTTGTATCGGGCATAAAATGACAAACGAAATACCATCCAAAAAAATAATATCGACCAATGACCAAGTGACGAACAGAGCACCATTCAGAGGAAGTCATATCGACCAATTTATAACACCAGGGTAAACAGCGAAACACAGTGCATATATGGGGAGAGGGGACATGGCGACTGTGACATATGTGGTAAACAACCCCAGCTACGAAGTGCAGTCAAAGCTGGGTTTAGTTGCTCTTTGAATTCTACGTCTGCAGCCCGGCGCATTCATCGAGCTTCTTCTTATTCGGTTTTGTTTGGATTCGTGGAAATGTCTTGCGGACGTTTCCTCATCAGCTTGTAATTTTTAAGTAGGCAGCACGGTAGCGGAACGGATTGGTATTTCACATTTACGTCAGCTGGACAGTAAGCTTGAAGCATCCTTTAAGTACACATGAAGTACATTGGAAGTGAATTTTCCAGCACGGTTCTTTTTGGTCGTAATGTTCATTGTCAGCTGTTAGGCTTCTTCACTGTTTCTAATCTCTTTGTTTGTCTTAGTACACGAGGCTTAAATTAAGTCCAAATGCGAATCGCTGCTTACCACACGTTCAATCAGAATCACAAGTTAGCATTTCATTTTACTTTCCTTGTGAGGAAAAGTTTTCGCGCTCATACACATGTCATGCCATTTTCACCTTCCTCATATGGCTCTGTGTTCGCGCCCAGGTCACTTTTGATTACACCTTGCTATCTTGATAGACTGAAGTAACTGCTCCAAGTTTCATCGCTGCGTTGCTCCTCTTTTGTGCGGAATAGCTTCGAGGACCACTGAGGTTATCTGGTCCCCATAGACCTCGCTTGTTGGAGGGTTTCATAGGAAGCCATGTCCTTCAGAGCGTGATAGGAATAAAAAGTGTATCCTGTATTAGTGAGCACTTTTTATCAAAGTACTCAAGTACCCAGGTTTTTGTCTTTTGCGCCCCAGGAAACATTTGCTGGTTGTCACTTGATGATAAAAATTGTCGCTCGTTACGCTGTGTAGTTCATTTGCCTGTAGGCTCTACGAGTTTTTAATTGTCCAGGCATTTGCCATCCACCAGTAGGTGACATATTTTGTAAAGACCAACGGCGCATTTGGAAACATATCTGCAGACTCATGTTTGATGGTAATAAGCTCGATAAATACTTCAGAAGCTATTTTCCAAATCAATGCACAATCAATGAAACACGAAGTAGACATGCTGTAGACGTGCTGAATTGAGGCTGCCAAAGGCTACCTTATCCCATCAAGATGTACAGCCAACCTGGTATGAAAAACTGCCAGAAAACTCACCCATTTACAATTGCGTTTTCAGTGCAATTATCTGCTGAAGCAGTTATCTAAGTAGGGCTCTCCTGTACCTCCAGTTAGCTGTTTGGATGATACCAGCTTTTTTGAAGTACGTACTGCAGTTGCTCGACTCAAGAACATTTTGTTCTTTGCTGGTCCCCTTTAATTTCGTCATCTGATTCATAACTCAGTTTTGTTCAACTGAACGACAACCGCACATCAAAGACGATGAGCAATTCTCCATGACGTGAAGCAGCCATTATTGTTTCTCAAACGAACCTCCACGATACAAGCGTCCACGGCACCGGAAGTTTCGCTTTTCAAGGGCAACTGTTTTTTTTTTGTAATGAAAGAGCCGTATTTTTCCATTTGGTGGTTTTCATTTATCATTCGCACATTGGGTAGGGCGACAATATCGGTAGAAAACGCCATGATAACGCTGGATTTATTTATTGCTCTGGTCGAACAGTTAGTGTGTAGGTCAAGTTTCCTCACGCCCCCACCGTTGAGCCATTCGAACTCAGTGACCTTTGTGCGCGGAGCAAGGTTTGGGAATAAATTGGTCTCCGTTAATTGTGAACTTTTGATACTATGAACAACCACAGACGAGAGCTTTCACACAACTCACGACAATACCGAATAAAACCAATTTCTTCCAAGTTTGCTTTCCCAATCTCCAAAGTGTGGCCGAGACGGTCCTATGAAATTAAACAACCAACAGCGTGCCTGGTTTCGGCCACACTATGGGCACACTTCCCCGCAGTAGGATAACGCTAATGGGAGGGTGAGTAGCACTTGTTTTCCCTGACGGTAATCACATGATTGAATACAGTGGGGACATTGCTTACTGTACATCTTGCTTTGATGGAATTTGATACTCGTGTGCGCAGGTCTCATTAAACCTGTATGGTAATTGGCGGTTTATGATCTTCTCAAACGGACTGTTCATTGTGACTTTCTTAGGGTTTAACTTCCTAGTCTCCAAATTTATGCATTTCTGACATGAATAGCTATTAAACCCCTTCACGTTTACATGTATCCGTTTGCTCCATCAGCCCATCGGAATATGGTGATTTTCGACTACGCGAAGAACCCCATCCTCGGCGTCCATTGCGCAAACATGAGATCGGGCCAGCTTTCGAATCGGCGTCGAATGACCTCACCTCCCCTAAAAAATGGGTGTCTCTCGAGACTGCGTCTCTTCGAACTGCGAAGCCTGTTCCACCTTCATTTCATTCTGTTTCTAACAGGATCTCGACTACCCATCAAACGGATGCACAAAAGTCTGATATCGATAATCGGTCGCCGTCTCTTCCATTACCTAACAAACCCACTACAGCACTGGTAACCCTAAAACTTTTTCAGTTTTCCCATGTTGTTAATAGCCGTACTAAGCCCTATCATTCATTTCATGCCCCATGGTTGTATACATTATCTATAGTTGCTTCATGTAGAAGATTACAGGTGCGAATGGCGCATCGCACTATCCAAGTTGAAAGTTGCTTGTTGCAAGGGCTGTTAAAAACATCTAAATACACCACCAAGTCAATTAGTCGACTGCACTACTACATCTTCGTTTAATGTATAAACATAAAAAATGGCTACAATTAACCATGGGATGTTTTTACGTCAAAAGTGCTTCAAAGTCTGCGGCAGGTAATAGCTGATGCACTGCACCGTATTGAATACGCAAGGGCCTTTTGGAAATGAGGGACCCGTAGTCCTTGAGTGAGACTCCGACTCACGACCATTTTTTTACAGCTTGTAAGTACCAATTAGAGTTGATGAGATTATTCTCAAAGAAGCTGATTGATACCCTAGTGGAATAACGAGCAGATCTCTTAGTACTGCTCAATACGACTATTGAGTAACTGATCTTTGTCCGGTCGCTCCATTCAAGACAGCCCTTTCTCTTGAGGACTCTCACTCTTGAGAACTTTCCCACTCATTTGCATAACGATCTGGTTTTTAGGGGAGATTCAACCCCATCCCTCGTTCATGATCCACTGCGATATCTCGAACATCGTATCAACTTAAACATGAGGTGGCCTTTGTGCAGCACCTTCAGTTGAAGAATATCATAAACGAGAGTTTCAGTTGAGTTTCCCGTGAGAACTAAATTGATACGCAAATGAGCGTGTTTGTTGAAGACCAGATCATATACCAAGTCATATCTTATCAACTTTCTCTTTGCCGTTGTTTCGTTTCTGGTAAATTTCGAGGGATACGTGTTCATTAGAATATTTCGTGACTCCGATTGATTGTTGTCCCTACCGACAGACAACGAGCATTCATGGTGGGCAGAAAGATGCTATGCGGCAAACAGCAGATCAAATTGAGCAGCATCGGTTCAACCCACAGGCGTACTCCACAGCTTGCAAGAAAACGCTGACTTCTCGTGAGCCTCATTGGTTACACTCTGATCAAGAAGATGAGGACACCAGTGTCTATTGCCTTGCAAGTAAATTCTTGGCAAGCGAGCAGCAGCATTCTATGTTGTTAGAGACTCGTATCGACGCCCACATAGAAGCATTAAAGAAACAAATTGGCCTTTGTTCTAGCTAACCTCTTCTCACGCTTTACCGGTTTCATCTTATCTACCGGTTATCTATGTCTGTAGCGTAAAGTTAGCTTGTCGCTTTTCCGGTCTATTATTTGCTGGATAACTGATTGATATAACAACGGTTTACGGTCTTGTACTATTTCTTTTCCATGTACAAAATCTCCTATGTATACATCAACATGCTTGCATTAATTCGTCTGCACTGACCCATCATACTGACCCCTCTACAGTGATAACATTGTGTCTCTGCTGTGATCATTTGCTTTTGTCCAACCTGTCTATTTCAGGAGGATAATACATATATGTACTTTGGACCATTCATAGTTTTTGTCGGTTTCATCATCAATATAAGTTGGAATGTATTACCTCCAAATATTTGTATGTGTTGCTCTTTCTATCCATCGCCAGTATGTGGTATTGAAATTCGACATTTAAAAGGCTAAATGGGTATCAGAGACCATGGGATCAACCCCACATGCCCCCACTCCACGAGACTGTGTAGCGGTGAGGAGTTCATGGAGCTGAGGTTTTCAGGGTTCGATCGCAGCTTTCTTATGAAAGCGCGGTTGGAACTGTCTTGGAGGATCGATTAGTAGTGGCATGGACGGTCTTACTATTTACCAGCTTTCGAATCGTTCTGGTTAGGTGACCAAATGGCTAAAAAAAAGCACAGCTTCCCAAATGCTGAAAACTGTCGAAACCGAGTAGTTTGGCAAGTGCTCAACCTTTCTATCGCCAACTTGTCTTGTACTTCACATTACCCCTAAATCTCCTAATTTAGTAACGCTGTCCCACATGAGAATTAAACAGAGATGTTTTATGGAACTGGTTTCGGCAATCCCTAAAATCTCAAGACCAGGACACCTCGTTGACTGTAAAAATAAACTCCATTTAGACCTTCGAAAATGTAATACTCATGCAGGTGGTCGCACAATGTCTACGCGTACAGCTGCTTCCGAATAGGGTTGGGTTAATTCGCGACAGAGGTGAGCTACAATCCGAAATTTACTTCTCAAACACAACGCACTTTTCGAAAACAGTGGTGGTAAAACTGTGACAAAGTACGAAAAACTCCGTGAATTTATAGGAATACGTCTCAAATGGAACTGGACATTGCTGAAGGAATGTCAGTTCCCTTTCCGAAAAACTACGGTCGGTTTTTAGCGTTTTCTAATTAAATATCCGAGCTACTCATAGTGGCACTGAAACCCGTCGTCCCTAAACCACCAGGGGACGTGAAGTGCGTTACAAAGGGATGAGTGGTAATATCCTTCCTCCAGATGGAGGTGGGTAAATTTTAGTTCTGATTAGCTTAAGGTAGACAAACTGTCAAGCCTTCACATTCCTCAGCTGAATATTCCAGCTTCCAGCCATCCTCAACATGTGTCATATACTCACTTCTGTACACAGACATAGTTCGCTAATTTTTGATTTGCATACCCTTTGATAATTTCGCTTTTATATCACTTTTACTTACATTGCTACGCTTTCGGGTGCGTGGCTGATGAAAATGAGACCATCACGGGGAAATGACACTTTGGACCTCTTCTTACGAGTGGATTTTCGCACGAAGTATTAAGTGTTTTTGATCGAGTGTAAGCGGACTGGGTTACTAAGTTGCGTAAACTATTGTGAGTCATAGTTGGAGTGACCTGTCATCGCTTCGTGCTCTTAGTTTTTCTAATATAGTCAGACCCACAATGAGTTTTTCTAACGATCACTAGATGGTACGGCCATGACTTCAAAGGGAACTTCCTATTCGATCGGCTGCATAGATAGTCCACGGTATTGACGGGTTTTACTTGTTCACGCAAACCAGACCCACTAAATCGTTTATTCAGTCACAAAGCAGTCGAATCCAACGCAACCTAATCATTCAGTAAAAGGTTGAATACATAATTCATTATCCCACCTGAATCTCCCGTTCATAATGCTGTTCAAGTGGGTTTGCTGTGCAAAGACTGTCTCGTGCGCTGGTTGGAACGATATTCGAGATATGGAGGTAGTTTTCTCCGTAGGACAAATATTCCTTGTCGTTGATCAGGGTCCGGTGCCTTTGTGCCGGTGATTCGCCGCAAATTCATGTACTTTGTTGCAGGCAGTTCACAGTCTAGATGTTTGGATGTTTGCCTCTTGTGGTTTGGTCCCACTCAGCACTTAAGCTGCGCCGTCTAGATATCGTCTGATTGAGGCTGATCCAACGAAGCATCCAAAGACCTTGGTTAGTACTCAGAAAATCCATCAGCTATTCGTTGAGTTGTTTCAAACTTCCCAGGTCAGCTCATTCATTTCGGCATATCTCATATTCTTGGCTTTGAACTTTTCAACAAGTTGCTAAGGCGTTAAGTCTAAAGGCTGCTGTAGAATTGCTGAGTGTGACCTTCAGGTTTCAGGGCTCATATCTGTAGGCGCACTCCCCACCATCATTTTTTCAGAATACTATCATACTTCAGTCGTTGGCAAGTCCAGTCATTGACACATTCAAACGCACTGACAAGGAACATGAGTCTGAATCATGAAAGTTGCAAGTTTTACCCCCAAGGGATGCTACAGCCGTCTACGCTGATTGTAACAATTTGGTATCATTATGAGGTTTCAAATGCATATTCATTGGACAGTCTGATCCTAAAGTTCGCAAGGGACGTATGAATAGATAAGTATTTTATATCAGTATATTAGGGTTAATTTTTGCGCTGCCCAACCCAGTGGACAATATCTAACTGAACGTAGCACCATAAAACAAGCGATCAGTTTAGATGTTTTTTTTTGGTACTGGTGATTCCACTACATTTCAAACGTTCCGGTTAACTCGTGTAAACTAGAATTTAAAAAAAAAACGAGAAAAATGCTGAGGTAACAAGAATAAAACGAAAAAACTGACAGGTAATGAGGACCAATGGTAGCTAGACATACTTTACGGATCGGAAGCATAGTAGGTATGCCGAAAGATGAACAGGAAAAATTCTTTTGAGTTCATGCATACAATCGGACACTTTGTTCGCGCACCTTAGGTTGATGAAGCTACATCGCACGTACTTTGATGACATTTGCACGCGCCGCTGTCGTGGTTGGGAAGAACCTACCTTCAAAATTCATTTGACAGCCGCTCTAGCACCCGTTCACATGCCGCAAATCACAGCACCTTTATGTGAAATTGGACGTCTAAAACAAAATTTCAATTCCATCCTTCTTTCTGACCTAAGTTTGTCCATCTCCTATCCCACGAAATCCTCTGTCAACAACGTAATCACATGTATTGCAGGGCTCAATCTTTACCAGTTTCGTTAAGTCACGTGATCTGCAAACACGAAGTGGAATGATGTGTAAAATTTGACGCTGAATTTCTACCATTTTCTAGCTGGTTTCCCACTAGACTGAAGTGTTGTACTGAAGGGACATTAAAGCAGGTGATTAGAAGTGCACGTGAACAAACAACCTGACAACATGTGGGTGTCATGTCGGATTAACGACAGCTTTGAATAAGCGTTGGTATCCACCCGGTTAACCTAGTTAGTTTCTGCACAAAGTTACTCACTTCCACTGGAAAAGCATCGTTCCCAAAGCCATCCGGCCACTCGGACGTATGAAGTGAACAACTACATTGTACAAAGTAATAATCTATATTCATCTGATTACTGGTTTGTATGCGCTGCCACTTGTACTGAGCGTCGATAACTTAATTAACGGACTTTCCTTGATTTTGGAGCTACCACTAACTCTAATACTGTATCATCTGCATTTTTGCTCTATTATCGTTTGCCACGGAAGCCTGACTCAAAGAGGCGCGGTTAGAATTATCCTTCAAAAAGGGCCACACTTAAATACAGTTGTTCAGTTATCCTTCCTTTGCCCTCACGCGTCCAGTATGCTGGATTCCTCTTTTTTCGTTTTACTTCGCCACTCTTTTCAGCACCGAGAAGAAAATTCATGCAGTTATAAATCAAGCTACTGGGATAACATATTGAATGGATACCTTGGCTTTCCTGTTAATCGATAGAAAATGTGCATATTTTCCGTTGCGTGAGCTTTCAGAGCTAGCAGCTTTTTCCTAATATTCGTTTCGCTACTTCAAACTGCATTGTCCTACCTCAGGACTACACCACACAATTGCATTAAAGTTCGTGATAAGGGAATTGAGTTTGCGCGTCATTTCGTAGCTATGACCGAGATACGCGTCATTCCATAGTGACTGAAACATCTGCACTGCTCACCCTCCGTCAGCGGCAGGATTAATGATATTCTTCTTGAACTCCAGATAGAGTGTGCGTCTGGTAATGTATCGATATGTTTCAGGATCAAATGAATCAAAGAAAGCTACCTGAAATCTGTTCGTTGTATACGGTGTCTGTAAGTTTTGTGCTTTTTCACGGTTGAGGTGCCTCATTACTAACCGATTCCCTTGATTTTGGAATGAATCTGATTAAATCTCCACCTTTTTACCCCACACTACTGGGACAATCTGTTCTCTGTGGCAGCTATTTGCCAGTATTGATCATTGGTAGACACTGCTTCTGACGGTAATGATGACCATGGGTGGTCGTCTGTCTCTACGACGAAACGTTTGTATCCTGACATATGGGATGTTGATAGACAATTTTTTCCAGTCTCGGCCATTCAGATGTCCACATGTGCATGTGAACGACAAATTTTCTCCCTTGGTTCACTTTGATACCTTTCACTCTCAAAGCTACCCTGTATTTCTACTCTTGGAAAATGAACTCGTACATACTCGAATCCTGGATAGTCAAGATATATCGATAAGCCCAAATACCCAGCAATCATCCGCCCGAATCTTTCAATCGTAAAATTCTCGGAAACTGGATAACACTTACATCTATCCTCACTCTGATTGGTCACTTAGACACTTTGTAATTTGACGCAAGTGAACCTAAGTATCTCGCCTACATATGTTGAGTAGTATGTTTTAACGTATCGTGTCTTTCTATACTTTAGCCAAGGTTTCTACTATGGTATTTTTTCGCGCACTTCCAAAGTGGACAAGATGCCAGATGGTACATATTTCTGTGAAAATGTTCACACCAAGGTCGACCCTAAATTCACGTTCATATCTGAAGCTGGTAGCCATGCTATGACATCAATAATAAAGCAGGCTTTGACATTTTGGAGGAAAAAGGCAAAAGTCGTAGGGCTCCCAAAAAACGATAAGAATGTGGGATCTCGGATATTCACAGGCCGAATACTTTTGGTTTCAAAATACGTCGAATATCGTGTCCATATGCGTTTTTTGTAATGACGTACCGGGGAACTGTTACTTTAAAATAGCCCATCGATTGTATGGCTGTGTAATGCGTCTG